GCTACAGCCTGCAGCCAGATAGACCCTGACTCAGTCTGAGCCTAAAGCTGGTTTGCTTCCAGTCCAACCACCTTGAGCAGCCAGACCTGCACTGTTCATTCACTTGAGAAGGAAGTTTATTCACCCAAGCAAGGAGCTGCAAGATTTAGGCTACTGATATACTTAAGGTCAGGCATATGTTTAGCTCCTGCTGAACCAGAAGCTCAGGTCTGAGCCCACCCACCTACCTTCTCCTTCCAAATAATTGATTAAAGAGTAATACAATACAGACTAATTAGCATTAAAAGTTTCTTTTTCCTGTTGTAAGGATCACGGACCCCAATGGTAAGGAATAAGAGGATCATGTCAGGAAAGGCTGTTAACAGGAGCAGAAATTTGAAAATATGGTCACTAACTGAAGCAAAGAAAATGTCCCTGCATCTCTCCTCTTACACTCATGGCAAGGTCAAACGTTCTTTGTCAAAATCTAAACAAAGCATACTAATTTCCCCCTCATGTTTCTCATGCTCTTCAGTTATTTTTGAGGAAATGCAGTGGATGTTGGTGAGTAACAGTGACCTAGCTCAAACTGTATTGGATTGTCTCAGTAACAAAGTACCAGATCTTTTGCACACAAAGTTCTTTACTAGGCCAAGAGAAGTGTAACCAACTAGAATAGAAAGCTCTTCTCTCAATTTCACCAACAGTGTTAAGAGTTGACATTAAAACGCCACAGTTACTTTCAGAGCAACATTTTGAGCACTTTAACCTAGAAGTTATAAATGGTTCTCTGTGTCAAATTCAGCTGTAAGTAAAATTCATTCTAATGTTAGCTAGAAAAAGTGGAAACATAGTGGAAGTTTTTGCATATTAGCAGCAGTTACTTCTTTTGAATGCCATGTGCAGGAAAAAATATGCTAAGATATTTCCCCTATTTCTTCTTTACTTGCTAAAATCAAAAGTTTGTCATAAAAGGCAAAACCCAAACTGTTTTCAATGACCTTGCAAACACACACATTTCCTGAGGAATTTGTGACCACTGAGGCTATGTGCAAGTGGCCAAAAATCCTGAGGAAATGCCGTCATATATTTAATCTCAGAGCTTCAAAAAGTTACTGAAAAAGCTATTTCAGTAGCATAATATTAGAAAAAGAAAAGTATCTTTTGTTTGCTTCTACAGTGTATCACCAAAGCTTTTTGTAGAGCTCCAGACTGCAAAGTTCACTCAACAATGAACTTTAAAGACAGACAAGTAATAATAAAGACAGACAAGTAATAATACAGGGACACCCATCTTATACCCCAAAGTCCAGGATATGGGGTTCACACAGCTATTCCAGACAGAGAGCAGACAGCTAAGCCAAATACTCCTTGCTCTGTCCAGTTCTTCTAAACTCTGTCTTGCAACATCCCTGTTGTTCCTCTTCAGATGCTCTTCAGACAAACAAACAATGCCACCTGCTAAGGTGGCATGCAGGACTCTTTTTCAGGGAGGCAGTAATCCAGACCCTGGAAACACCCATTACCAGAAGGACCTGGGAGCACGAGACATTCTCAGGCATAGCAATGCTTCCAAGGTACACAAGGGGCTGGGGAGGAGAAGGGATTAGAAATTCAAGCCAAATGGAGTGACTTTGAAAAAGATAGAAGTGTTCAGACATTACACTGAGGTAACCACTGAGGTAGCAGCTGAATGCTTGAAAATATGCCCAAACACAGTGTGGACATTGTCTTCAACACAATTTATGCCACAGGAGTTAACAGGAACTGAACTTGATTTAGTAGCTGAAGCCTGTGTCCTCCTACCATGGGGGCTGCCCCTAACATACCACTGCTGTAATTTTGTTTGAAATGCATTTCACATAGTTTCACAGTCAGCAAACATCATCAGACCTTAAAGATCCCTCCCCTTCTGATACAGAGGTAGAAGGACCTCCCTGCCCCTATGAAGACAGGAGCTGGAAAAGGAGTTGGAAAGAGAGAAGGTAAGCAAAGGGACACAGCTGCAGACAAGAGATATTCTACCCTCCCAAAAAGTCCCACTATCTTATACATGGCAAATAGCAGAGAGAGCCCACCAACCTGTTGCTTCTCCCAGCTGAAGGTTGCAGGCGCAGCAGCAGATCACCTCCCACTTATCAGCTGTGGGAACATTCAGAAAGCAGTGCAAAATATCTGTGACTGCTCAAAGGTAGAAAGAGTGATAAAGAACCAAAGATGGGTGAAGAGGGGCAAAGAAGGTAGCATGATGAAATTGTCAAGGCAGGAGAATAAAAGGAAGGAAAACTCCAAAGAGAAAGGAGGATGAAATGAAAAATTGCTGAGGAGGGAATGAGAGTGTATGGCCTGGGTGAAAACAAGTGCTGTGCAAGAGGGAATGAGTTCACCTGAGGGACTCCTCAAATGACTGCAGGAATTAATGCTTCCATGATACTCACATACATAAGGTCCAGAGCAAGACAGCTCAACTCCAAATGTCCACTAAAAGATGATCTGTCAATCTCAACACTTTCTCTTAAAAATGGACTTCCATGCATTGAAACACAGTCTGGTTAGATGAAAAGATCAAAAAGAACACATCCCCAACATATTGAGGAAGGTTCCCATACAAGCCCTAAATTTAGATGTCAGTCGTTGTGAAGGAGGTTTGTAAAAGGAATGGGTCTATTTACTGCTACTCGTCACCATTTTCTGATTGTTGCTTTCTCAGGCTTGTGTTTCTAACACAAAGCCTAATGAACTGACTGCCTGCTTTTTGAGTGGATGTACTGCAATGGAACACACTGAAGAGATCTGTTTGTAAGAGCTTAGAACAGACTCAATCAGAGAGTATTTTGTCATACACATTGCTAAAGGTTCCCAGTTTGCCACCTTCATCTGAGTTTTTCTCTCACACCCTTATTTCCTCATAATGATTTGAGGTGCTAAAAAATGCTACCCCAGGTGCACCAATCCTTTCTTCAGTATTTTACCCAACAAATCTGACAGTAACCTTTTTATTAACAATCCTAACTTGTGTGTTCTTGGACAAGTGAAAAGAACAGGTAACAAAAATTACTAAGGAGTTAAAACACAGGCAAGAGAGGGACATACCTGTGTCCTCCCAGTGAGAGTTTGTTCTCATGATGGAGTTTAAAGGGGACTGTAAAGAATAATTCCTTAAAGGCAAAGACACACACAAACACACAGACAAACAAACAAAAAAAGTGGGGGTTTTTTTCTGCTATTTTTAAACACATAAGTGTATGATCCAGGGCAACTTTTTTAAGTAATGTGACACAACTCTCTTGGGCAGCACGGATTAAGTGATACTTTAAGTATTTCATCTCAAATGAGCACTTTTCTCTAGGGAAAGAGTGAAAGATGTCAAAGACAAAGACATAAACTGATTTTTGGTCTGCCATTCACATTGGGTAGCTGTTAGAAAGGAATCTCTTTCCTGTTTAAAATTGAGCATGGTTAATCAATGTTCTTACATCCTCTAAAACTCCCAAACTTTGAGCTGTGTGCTGCCTTGCTTTTTTCATCCTGGTCACTTAATTTCTACAGTTTCTGGGTAATTTCTTTTGCTTTACCCAGTACTTTTCATCTCACCCTACATACTATAATCAAAGTTTAGGATCAGGGCAGTGGGGGAAGCCCCATGCAAACACCAATCTCATTTTCCATACCAGATCCTTTCAAAATGCAGGCAGGCACCTTAAACAAAGACAAAATCAATCTCCTTTTGGAATTACTGCTGGTTATAAAATAAATAAACCAGATGTGTGTGACAGAAAGACAGAAAGGCAGTATCTGCTTTTCAGTTTTTTTCCATCACGTTCAAAGTAGGCCAGGACTGTGACATTCCACCTGGCAGCACACAGCCATGGCCGATGTTCTCAAAGTAAATGTGAGACAACAATAACAGTTTGCAGTTTTCTCTACACCTTAACTCAAGTTATAATTCGTGATGTTAAAAAAACCAAACCAAAACAAAACAGAATTCTGCGTGGTTTACTCGTGTATGAATAGGACTACATGTTCTGCTAGAGATTACAGGCAGTTTTTCTCTCATCTGAACACACTGGCGAACCTGTGCCTATCTCTTCACTCCTTCTCGGTTAACCCCGGGAAAAAACCAGCACTCACCCTGCACAGACTCACTAGGGGACTGTGATGAGAACCCTAGTGCACTGTGCCTTGCCCGAAACTCTTTACACCGCGGGACAGCGCGCAGTGGGAGAGCAGCCCCGAGTGCCAGCGGGGAGCGCCCGGGATC